AAAGTAGATCCTAGAATAGTAAGGGATGTAATGAGAGGAGGAGGAGGAGGAGGAGAAGGAGTAGTAGAACACCAGTAGCATCTGCAGTAGCAGGTAGTGTGGTAGTGCAGCTCAGTACAATCGTGCTCAGAACTCTGATTCTCATGATCAACTCAGCCACGATGTGCATGATCTACTTCCTGGCTTACTGCTGGTTGATAGGGAATGTAAACCCTATGTCACCCTTATATAATAGATTCCCTTACTCCCTGTGCACTTCCAGTCCCTAAACCCTACCCTAAACCCTATAAACCCAAACCCTACGAACTCTCCAGGATGTGCATGATCTACTCCCTGGGTGATGTCTCGGGGGCGCATTTCAACCCGGCCGTGTCTCTGGCCGTCGCCATCCGCGGCGCCTGCAGTTTGGCGGACCTCCTGGCCTACGTCCCTGGGCTTAGGGTTAAGGATCTAGGGTTTCGGGTTTAGGGTTTAGGGCCCAGGGTTTTAGGGCCTAGGGCTTTAAGGCCTAGGGTTTAGGGTCTAGGGTTTAGGGTCTAGGGTGAAGTGTTTAGGGTCTAGGGTTTCGGGTGTAGGGTCTAGGGCTTAGGATTTAGGATCTAGGGCCTAGGGTTTACGGTCTTTAGCTTTCGGGGCGGGAGGGGGGTAGTAGTATAGAAGAAAATATTATATAGGGATTATGCTTCCAGATTCCCTTCCAACCCTGAGTAAGGTAGTGTGTAGGGTTGAAGGTTCAGGGTACAGCGGGCTTAGGGTTCACGGTCGATGGCCCAGGTGCAGAGTTTAGGACTCCCGCAGGAGGATAGGCTTCAAGACGTACGCTTAATGTCTCGACACGTTTGCTCTGCCTGCTTGACAGTTGAGCTTGAAGCATTAAAGAATCATAGTATGACAATCACAGCATCCATATTTCGAAGCGGCCAAGAACGCCCGACAGTGGTTTACACGGGAAATTTTCAGGAAGCTGTACAGCACGGAACCCATGAAGCTTTCGTTAAAAGGTGTTAGATAGGCGAGTTTCTCGATACGACCAGCATAGGAGGCGAAGTAAGGACCCCAATCATCTGCGCACAGCCCCCGCATATTCCCAGGGTTCCTACTGGCTCCTGATGTTGAGAAACTTCCCCACCTGACCTCGTGACTCAGTTATTAAGTTTAACAGAGGCTATATGATTTATGGGTCTACACCAGGGGTTATTGGGGATACTTGGTAGACCTACTAAGTCAAAAGACCATGCAAGCATATGACCAAGGTTCCCGTCCAGCTGCTGGCTGGAGTTTCTGCAGGACTTACTGGTGGTTAGTCAGGAACATAGCCTCTGGTTTAGGGTTTCGGGTTATTCATGAACGAGGGAACATAAGCCGTATATAGGCCCTATGTGCTACATTCCCACTCCCTGCTAACAACCCGTAAGAGGAGCCATTGTCAGCTGCTTCCATGCAAAGAGCGGGTCAACCTCGGCCCACTTTCTTCAGCCTGGCTCGGACCCCCAGAGCCGTCTTAGGACTTTTTTGGGTTGCTGTTCAGGGGTAGGGGTTTAAGTTACCACAATAAGGAAAGCCGTGTTCTTTACTGTAGTTCCATGTTGTTGTAACTTAACTTCAACTCCTTCACAGCAACCCAGTCTTTTCTGCGTTTGGCTGCCAAGGGCTTGCTTGACTTTCCTAACACCCAAACTGTTTTTTTGTTTTTTTTCTTCCCCTGTTTTTTTGGTGAACTTGGGGGGGGTCCCAGGTATTTGTCCTCATCCCAAAACCTGAAGCCCTACACCCAAGACCTAAAACCCACAACATTTTCTGCGGGAGGTTGTAGTTGATATTTGCTTTTCTTCCATTCCCATATATACCCCATGTACTTCCTATACACAGAAGTAACATTCAGCTAAAGCCCAAACCCTTAAGCTAAAACCTGCACCCTACATTCTAAAACGCTAAATCGTCCTAAAACCCTAAAGCCTAGATCCCCCATCCCTAAGCCCTTAACCCTCCTAGGACCACACTATCGCACAAGCCGGAGTTGCAGAGATGATCTTCACCTTCGTTCTCTGCTGCTAGGCTGTTTTTTGCAGATGGGTTCGATTGTTAATTAAGGGTTTTGGGTTAAGGGTTTAGTTGAATGTCGGGTTGCCTTTTAGCATGTTTTCAGGCAAGTGTTACTTTTTGTTGTTAGTGACTCTAGCTGAGGGTTTGTTATGCTTTGACTTACTGAAGCCTGTTAAGCCTTTCAAGCCTGTAGGGTTTAGGGTTCGCACAGGCTATGTGGTCTTGACTACGGCTACCATTGCGAAGCCTGAATCTGGGTTGCTGTTAAGGAACCTAAGCTGGGTTACCATAATAAGAGTATATAGTAAGTAATAGGGTTTCCTTGTTCTGGCAATCTCAATCCCTGAGCCCTAAACCCTATATAACCCCAATATATCCCCAATATACTAGAGTAGTTTCCATTTTATTTTCAATTATCCCTATACATAATATGGGTAAACTGACTTAATTCAAGTTCCGTACCAGCAACCCAGGAATCGCAGCTGACAAAGCAGAACTTCTACTTCGGGTTGGCCATCGGCTCCTTGGGCTTCCCGTTAACCCAGAGGGTCCACATACACAACCATTAGGGAATTGGGACCCATAATTCCTTCTATAGTATGGTATTTGGGGGCCTAATTCCCTAATAGTTGTATATATGGACCCTCTGGGTAAGTAGTATTTATTTTTTGTCGGATGAGATTATGTCCTGCTTTTGGGTTATAGTATTTTATGTAGGGAATGCAATCTTACCAAGTTCAACCACCCCAAAAATGCTACTCAGTTGAGCATGGTGATAGAGTGGCTGCTCTATTGTACAGCCCCGCACAAGCAGCACCTCCATGACCCCAATTCAAGAGGAAGGCCTCATGGAATGGCTCCTAGGGTTTAAGGTTTAGGGTGTGGGCTTGTTCTTGCTTAGCATATATAAAACAAGCACAAAAATGCGCGTAGAGCCTAACCCAGATCGACGTTTTGAGCCATGGATCTTCACCTGTGGTATTTTCCAACATTGGTGTGAGTTCTGCATGCCGCACTTTGCCGAAGAAACAGGACCACATCTCTAAGGACCCCAAAGCACCTCCATAGATACCTCTTTGCACGCCAGGTATATGCTTTGGGTTGGGCCTCCACCCAGCCATTCCTAGTGGCCTCAAGGGATCACGGTACTCCCACCATTATTACGAAGTGAGGAGGGTAACTCAGTGCCGTGATGTACTTGGAGGGTCAGGGACTTAGTAGGTATAGGTTAATAACCCCTATAAGCCATATGCTAACCCCTACTCACTAAGTCCCCCTGACCCTCCAAGTAGTACCCCTATCTTCGCAAAAGGCTCCTGTGTCACTGCTGGCGGCATCGCCTCAGGAGCCATCTCCGGGGGAGAGCTGATACTTACTTGACATTGACCAACCTTTTGAATTCTAGTCCCCCTTAAGGAGATAGAATCTGGTGTATACATTGGGGTAATGGAAAAGAAAATGGAAACTACTGTTTAGGGTTTAGGATGGTTTAGGGTTTAGACTTTTTAGTTTAAGGCTTTGTTTGGCACAACAACCTGCTCACAACCGATTGTAGAGGGTGCTGCCGGTTTGTCTGTGGGGGCATACTCTAAACGGCTTCCTACAGAAGACTTGAAACCCAATACCCAACCCTGAGCCTCCAAAGTATACAATTATCATATACTCCGAAAGACCTACATCATAGCTTCCATAAAAATCCACCCCCCCAACAAAAAAACATGAACCCAATGTAATACAATCCTTATTATGGGGGTCCCCAAACGGGGAGCCCCTTATTTCCGGAAAAACCCAAGCGAGTGGCTACTGAAGTGAGGATCCCAAAGCCATGAACCCTGGGTTTAGGGGTTTAGGGTTCAGGTTACAGGGCTTAGGGTTTGGGGCTTTGGTTTTAGGGTTTTAGGGTTTAGGGTTTGGGCTTAGGGTTTCCCAGCACTGTCAGACAGACAAGGAACCCCGCAGTAAGCACTGGGCTGGCAGTGGCTAGCTGCATGTTCTCGCCGCAAGGTGCTTGCTGCGTTTAAAGTGAGGGGTTAGGGCTGTGGGGTAGGGGAGTAATAATAATAGTAGCAATAATAGAAGACGAAGAAGAAGTAGTAGTTGTACTAATAATCAGAATCGTAACAATAATGGTACGAGAATTCTAGGCACTGATGGGTGTATGGCTTCAAGGGCTTTTAATGGTTTTGGTGGGTTCAAGGGGTGGTGAAGTTTGTTATTTTCTATTTTTTATTATCTGGGCTTAGTTTAAGTTATGTTGCCCCCTCAAAGGTGCTTGTGCCATTGCGGCCTAGACGTTAACGGTGGATAAAGAACACGAGTAGAAGCCCACTGGAAAGGCTCCCTATACCGCAGGTTCACCTCAACCCGCACCCATAGATTGAAAGGATGGCAAATCCTTCCTTCCTTAACCCGAAACAACAAAACTGCCTCAAGCCCATCCGATCTTTCCACTCCCCACAGTCCCAAGTTTTGAGCCCTAAACGCCATACACCCCATCGCGGATTAACGAGAGTCAGTGTCGTTCCAGGGTGAGACAGCCAAACTCATGTTGGCACTTGGAATAAAAGAATAGTATACGATAATAAGTAGCAGGCGGAAAACTGTGCAGCAACATGTGCCGTCAGCATCAGACGCCATGCACCCCCAGATATATCTGCGTATGTGCTCCCTAGAAATCCCCTCATAACTACTTCCTTCTGTCACCAGGCACTACCATCGCCATTGGCTCCACCGTCCAAAACCTACTCTGCTTCAGCGCCTACGAGTCTTACCTGTGCCTAAGGGGTGTGGGGGAGTGAATATAGGGATTATCATAGGGGTACATGTGGGGACTATATAGGGATTATTATAGGGGTATATTTGGGGGTTATATAGGTATTACTATAGGGATGTAAATGCGGATTTTTGTAGGTATCTTTATGAGGATCCTCTCCCCCACTCCCTTAAGCGCCAGTAAGGAGTTTGTTGGTGGCATCCTCGCGGCGATGATGTTCCAGGTGACCCACCCCAAGGAGACTGTTCACTCGGGCTGTGCTGCAAGGTTTTTAGGATTTACGGTCTAGGGCCCAAAACCTTCCAACACCCTAAAACGCCTAAAGCCCCCAAACCTTAAACCTTAATTCTAAGCCTCAATAAATAGCCAAAATCCTTTTCTCTAGGAAGGCTCCAGAGCAGATAGGAGTCTGGGGTTTGGTGGGTTTAGGGTTTAGGGTTTGGGGAGGATTCAGTGTGTGCGGCTTTGGGCTCTTGGGCTTATAGGGCTCAGCTCGCGGAGTTATGATTTGCGGGGCTAATCAGCAGGAACATGTTCGAGGCGAACCCCCTTTTTAAAGGATTGGTTGGGGGTTCCCTAGACCCTAAACCCAGGGGGGGGGGTTCCAAGGAACCTGAGGGTTAGCTTGGTTCTAGCAGGAGATGCTAGGTCCTCTCATGGCGTATCTCGGGCTTAGAGTTTACAGCCCAGCCGATCATCCTTTGGAAATCTCATGTATCCAAAGTGTGCCGAAGATGATCATTCTCATAAGCTCCACTTCCTTGGGAGGTCAGGGAGATTTAGTAAGTAGGCTAATAACCCCTATGTAAGCCATAGAACAATATCCCCATTGTTGACCTATTTACTAAGTCCCGATGACCCTCAAAGTGGTATGATTGAAGACTTGGACCTTTAGACTAGGATTTGGGGTGTAGGGCTTAGCCAACGGCTTGGGGCTACAGTACTACTCCCATGCTGCATCCGTGCACAGTCATACCACTTCCCTCACGCCAAGGAGAGGAACCGGAAAAGTGTAGAGCCAGAACTATACATTGACCTGGACATTCTACCCCATGATATGCCTGGTGGTAATACATATGGCCCTATAAGGCCCTATAAGGCCTTATCTAATGATTTGCTTTTTGTAAACATTTGAACTTGAGCAGTCTTCACCAAAACTCCACGGCAAATATAAGCCGATCTTGCCTAGTTATCTCAGTCGTACATACCCATCCTATTGCGAAGCCCTATCTCCTAAAACCCGAGCCCTAGTCCGCAACCCTGAACCCCAAAATCCCCAAGTCCGGTACTTTGAAACCGGAACCCTAAACCCTAAACCCTGAACCCTGAATTCCCAGCAAGGAGCTGGGGAGGGCGGGAATGTGGATTTCAGCCTTCGCTGCCGAGTTCCTGGGTACTTTCGTCCTGGTCTTCAGGCAGATTTAGAAGTCAAGCTACCTCTTCAGGATATACGTAGGGCCCAAGCGTCGGTATTCCGGGGCCTATGTCGGGGTCGTTCAAAAACATTATATGCGCGGCAATTCATGGGTTGTTGAAAATGCAAATGGTGCACGTGAAAGGAGCGCGAAAGGATTCGCGAAAGGGTTAGCTGTGGTCCAACTTATCCCTCTCAGGACACGTGGGTATGTTTTTGGTTGACAGAACATGATCACGCAGCAAAGTGATACGTTAATGGTGTTCGCGAAAGTACGCGAAAGACCCATTTCCCGGAAAGGAATATGAAACAATTCCCCTTTGCTAGATAGGTAGCTGGACAGTTTAGGAGTATTCTTATTCACTGTAAGTATGAGTATCGACGTTATTATTGCTTGGTTCCATGCTTTCTTTCTTTGTAAAGAACAGCCCACATGTGAAAAATGCACTGCTATCCGCAATACATGTTGCAATCCCATATTGTAGACCGGAAACTTGTTGGGCAGAAGCTGGCACAGAGCCTCCGGACCTACCACTGAACTCCCGCCGAGGTCTTCACTGTGGTTTGCAACGTCCTTGCCGGCGATGCTAACTGGTCGCCAACATCCATTGCCTGCTCGCTGATGGTCATGATCTATGCCACAGGTGGGATTGGGATTGAGGGATTTGGTGCGAATCCACAGGTTTGGGCTTGAACCTGAGCGTTGAGATTCAGGGACATTCGCCACTGCAGGGCCTCCGAGGAGCACGGCTTGAGCAACCTGGATTTACGTGTAGACAAGAGTTAATTTGTTGAGCAAAGCCCTGCGCGTCACATGTCCCAGCCCAGCTGCCTAGTGCCACGCCCTGAAGTGCCCGTGAGGTGGTGTGTCTGGCGGCCACCTGAACCCGGCGGTGACCTTCGCTGTCACTCTCGTTAACAACGACTCGGGCCTTAGAGTTGGGATGTTTGGAATTGGATTTTTGGTTGTTTCTGTGTACCAGAACCCCAAAAATCCTAGGAATCAAAATCCTGAAAATGGGAGAAACGCAATAAGAGTCCTTACATCAAATAATGCCTCTGCAAACCCTCAAACCCAAACGCTAACCCCCAAGCCCTACACCACAAACCTCTTGCTTCAGCTTAAGAGTTGGCCAAAGCCCGCACATACCATTCACAATTTGAGACAGCCCTCTTCAAGTAGGCCTTCCCCCAAGCCCTAGACCCTACAACCCCCTTGGGGCTTAACCTAATGAATCCTGCAAGCCCTAAAGCCAAGAAACGCTGTCTGACCTACGGCCCATAAGCCCAATAGGAACTACAAATCCTATGTATTCGGTTTAGGGTATACGTTTAGGGTATATATCCGAAACCCTCTGTACTGTATTGTCTAGCCTGTAAAACGAGTCTACAAATGCTGAACCCCACAAGCCCCGTAAACCCCAAAGCCTTAAACACATGTACAAACGCTACAAGCCTTAGAAACCCTATAAACCCAACACACACCTCACAAACCCTATATGCCCAACACCATAAGCTATACAAACCCTATAAATAAAACCTAAACTCAGCCCAGGACTGGTCCGGCAGGTTCTTGGGATACTGGTTCTCGCAGATTCTGGGTCAAACTGTTTAACGGATCCTGAGGGGGGCGTAAGGGGGGGAACCCTACACACTAAACCCTAAGCACTATAAACCCTAAACCCTAAGCCTTAAACCCTAAGCCCTAAACCGTTATAAGCGGAGCCCACAAGTAAGGGGTTCCTAAGGCCTCCTTATAGGGCCAAAGGCTCCCTAAGGTCCCATAGGGTCTCCGTATATGGGACCCCCCATGGATCCTTCTCATCCTTTTCACTCCCCAAAGGTCACATAGAACCCAGAACGTTTAGTTTAGGGTTGAGGGTTTGGAGTTTTTGGGCTTTAGGGCATAAAAAGAGTTTTTATCCTCTTCAAACAGTACATGGAGTTTCCATGTTTGTGTGGAGAGTGAGATGTAAGGTTATGGATTCAGAGCTATGGGGTGCCCCTATGGAACTGGAAAAGGGTGCTTTCCTCTTCCCGTTAGTATTGCAGATCCTGCATGACCTTAATGGACTACAGTACCACACTTCCCAAAGTCATCATATACGTGGTGATGCATGGTTTTTGACAACAACCGTCCAGATCATGGTAAGCAGGGGTAGGCTCAGAGCTAGTTAGACTTCCTGTTGCCTTATCTAATATATTCCCTTATTCCCTAATAACCACCAGCAAGCCTTGTGAACAGTAAAGCCCCAAACCCTAAACCCTAAACCCCAAGAATCACCGCTAAGTAGTAAGGATTGCGGGCGGCATTGCAGCGGGCTTCGCCGGGTGCAGCTTGCACTCCAGCGTGGCAAACATCGAGCCAAAGGAGCCTTACCAGACCTCCCATGTCCCTGGGCATAGGTCTAGGGTTTAGGGTTTTAGGGTTTAGAGTTTCTTGATGGGATTTGTGTAGGGATTTTATGGGTGTTTCTCAAAATTGAACATACATAATCCTTACGGGGAACCCTCTACATCACTGCATGCTTTTAGGGTCCCGGAACCCATTTTGTAGAAACTCTTATATAGCAAAAGCTACTAAACCCTAAGGCTTAGAGACTGAATAAAACCCAGGCCCTCATGGCTGAGTTGATCTACACCTTTATGCTGGCCTTCACCGTCCTGAGTGTGGCCGCCTCCAAGCGCAACAACTCACCCAAGGATGCCAGCTGCGCTTAGGTTTTAGAGTTTGGGGTTTCTAGGGTTTAGGCTAAGAAATTCTCTAGTTCGAAGTAGCTCCTTGTTAAGGGGATTTAGGAGACCCCCCATTGCATTCAGGGGTTAGGGCGGCGCCCCCGTCCTGATTCGAGAGGTGGAAGGCCTCCTTCAAACCTCTGGGTTGTTGTTAAGGAACTTAATTTCAATTACTATATTGGGGAACCCTATTAATTACTAGATATAGCCATTATGGGAACTTAACTTAAGTTCCTTAACAGCAACCCAGCAAAAAGGACGGGAACAATTTCTATGCCCTTGCCATTGCCTGGACCATCATCGCTGGCGGCTACGCGGTGGGCGGCGTCTCTGGAGCTGCCTTCAACCCAGCCGCCTGGGGCTGCCTTGGGAAGCCTTTCTGAGACACATGAGCTATAGCCTAAACTTGGTTAAAGGGGGTTATATAGGGGATTATATAGGGGAGAATAATACGGGCTATGGAAGGGGATGCTAGGAGTTTAGACTATAGTTGACATGAAGCATGAGCCCTTATCGCAGAGAGCCGTTGTGTATGCCACGGTTCACAGAACGTGGTGGGGTTCTTTGAAGATCACACTTGCATGTAATTACCATAAACGCAAAACAAAAAACCCTATATCAACCCCGAAAGCTTAGCTCCAAATCCCCCAAATCCTGAAATGCAAAACCCCTAAACCCTAAACCCTGAACCATTCCTTTGCATAGGCTGTAGCCATCGGCCTCGATATTTCCAGCTACAGCGTGGGTGTTGGCTTTGGCTTCCTGTGGGCTCTCTTTGAGCTGTTAGGAGGAGGTCTGGCTGCAGCACTCTTCCGCATGCTTCGGCCGGAGCAATCCCTGGAGGGTGAGGCCCTGGAGAGCTACCAGCCCTCCATCTTTGTGAAGCCTGCCTGGTGTTTAGGGTTTTAGGCTTTAAGGGTCTAGGGTTTTGAGAGGAATGGATCCTTAGACTCATAGTAGTCCCTATATCCACTCCTTATATTCCACTCCGTTATTCTCTGCTAAACCTTAAACCCTGAACCTTCAATCCAAGCCAGCCAGGAAGTTGCTTGCTGAGTTTGTGGGTGTCTTCATGTTGGTGCTCACTGTGGGCCTGAACCTCGTCACCTGGCATAAGGTCTAGTCCCTTGGGGTTTGGGGTGTAGGGTTTAGGGGTTTAGGGTTTAAGGGTTTAGGGTATAGGGTTTAGGGTTGGCCCCCAATTTGGAGTAAGATTGTATCCTCCTTCAATAGATTCTTGTAACAAGAATTTAAGCTGCCTTGGTCCGGGCTTCCAACAAAAAACTGCTCATCTTTCAGTAAACTCTCTAACCCTCACCACCCATTTCTATAGATATCTCTCTCTCTCTCTCGCTCTCTCGCTCTCTCGCTCTCTCTCTCTCTCTCTCTCTCTCTTACAAAGCCCTAAACTACCCTAAACCTTCAACCCGAAATCCTAAGATGGAACCCAAAATCTATTCCGTAAATCCTACATAAGCCCTAAACCCTAAACTGAGAAATCAACCTTGAAATGGGAACGGTAACTATTCACCCGGCCCGAGGTCAATGATTCGCCGGCCACGGCCTGGTCTGCGGCCGCGGCACTCATGTGCATCCAGCCTTGTGGTTAAGGGTTCAGGGTGAGGCTTAAACCCTGAATAAGCAATACCCACTCTTGATAAGTGAGGACCCCCCCCCCTGCTCCCCCTCCACCCTCAAAGAACGCTTTCCGAGCCCTGTCCCCCTGTTCTTCATCCGAGAGCCGAAAAGGAAAAGTAAATCGTGCTAAGTACAACTAGTACAACAGAGCAGAAGCAGTAAGTAAGAGCTGGAGTAAGCTTTTGCACGGTGTCCCTTAGCAGAAGGACTTCATCATGAACACCGAAGTATTCCTGAACAAATCATACATGTTCAGTATTTGTTTCAGAGGTTCTACTTGCGCATAATTTGGCAAAGCATCAAACTTGATTGCTGTTCGTAGGGAACAGAGGAGCGGATCCCGTTAGTAGCCTCTGTAGACTTACTGGTGGTTAGTGGGGAATAAGAGAACACAATCCCTAGATAACCTCTATATAATGTATTCCCTTGTTCCCTACTAACCCCCGGCAAGTAGAATGCCCCAGACATCCCAAGAATGCAGTAGTTTTCATTTTCCTTTCCTTCCCTGCAACCCTAACCTCCACAGCAGCTTCCATGTTCGAATCCACTCCGCTCCTGAAACCCTGATCCCTGAACTCCAGACCTTGAACCCTAAATCCTGAACCCGAAGCCCTAAACTTAAAGCCCTACACTCTGAACCATCAGCCCTAAGTCCTAACTCTTAAGCCAGCAAAGTATTAACCCAGGCATGATTTACTGCCTCGGAGATATTTCCGGCGCACACCTCAACCCGGCGGTGACGGCAGCGGTGACCGGGTGGATTTGGTGATTTTGCATAACCCCAAAGATCCAAATAGCCCAATGTAGGTAGGATAGGGTTTAGGGTTTAGGGCCTTGTGTAGGTTACATTTGTAGACTTTGGGGCTCAATGTAGGTATGACTTGTCTACAAGGATCCCTAGGGTAAACACCGTCATCCCGCAATCCTCGTATGAACATGTGCCCAGGTTTTAGTTCTCACACGCTCCCTTTTCAGGCAAAGTCCTGGGCATAGGAGCCCACAAGAGCCCTTACATATGTGCATATATATATATATTTATTTATACATCTGCTAAGAGTTTATTAAACATTCTCCTCCACATTCGCAAAAAAAAAAATTGCGCCAAATGAGCCCCCAAGCTCGGCTAAGGTAGTTGCCAGCGGCCGGAAGCTGTGTAGTGGCCTGGAGGGCGTGGCATATGCAGCCACGCAGTTCCTGGGTTGTTGTTCACATGAGCTATAGTCTAAGGGGGTTACATAGGGGATTATCATGGGTGTTGCGGTTCGGTCCGGCTCGGTTTGGGTTTGCTTCGGTTTGCTTCGGTATCCTAATGTTCGGTGCGGTCCGGTTCGGTACGCTTTCCACACGTCCACTTCCACCCTCCAGCCCCTCCACCCCTGCCACCCAGCCACAAACAACACCTGATCTCACCCCTCCAG